GAACTGCTAACCTTTAGGCATCAATACGCAAGGACAAAGCTTTTAAAAATGCCACTATTAATGAATTTCCCAGAATTTGGACTTGTCTCCCAGATGATTTCAAAGACACTGTAATGTTGGACACTTTAGAGTCATTTGTTTTTAAACTAAAATTACATTTTATTGAGGGACAATAAGTGTTGACTTATAATATAAAGTATTTTGTAACATTTACCTTTCTAATTTAAACTTGTATCTAAACATTGATCAATTAATGATATTCTCAGGTATTTTTATATTTTTTTTATTTATTATCATTTTTTTTAAATATTTCTGTATATATTATTTCCTTGACTATAAATGTATTTTTTTAAAATTTATTTATATATTTATTTATTTTAACAGTTAATTTGTTTTTATTTAATTTCTTGTAAATTAATAATTGATATTTTATTACTTATATTTTCTGCAATTCTCTAAGACTGGGTTGATGGGCTTTTGAGTTAAAGTGTTTGTCACTATCATCAATCCTAGCCATCTTAGGCTATTTTACAATTTGTTTGTTCTTTCTGCTTTTTTGCTTTAACTTATTTGGCTGAATAAAGAATGAATGCATGAATAAGTGAATACTGTAATTACAATCATCCCTATGGAGGCTAATTCAAAAAATAATTGCTAACACAGAATAGGTTTGTAAGGGCATGTATTTCAAGGAGCTAGGATCTCACCATTGGATCTCCTCGCAGCATCCCATTGTTGTATTAGCTTGCGAGAGATTTTTTCCCCTTATCACTGTTGTAGGTGACATCTCCGAAGTGTCTGGTTTAGTACAAGATTTTTGATTAAATAATTCCTGTATGATAATTCCAGTTTACTGGGGTGAGTAAACTCGTCGACAGCACTGTAGTAGCACTTTTCATTGACCATGCCAAGTGCTAGCTATCTCGTCTGCTTTTTGCATGGGTTGGTATATGTTCAAAGGGCACCCCCACTTGTGCCGGCCGAGCATACTACCGGCAACATATCGTCTAGGTGTATCTTCCCCAAACTACCAGCCGTTGAGTCTGTGGCATGTATAACAAAGAAGTCATAAACGCTGGAATATGTTAAACCGATTTTGACAAAAATACTTGTCCCTGGCGCCCTCAGCAACACCCTGTGGGCACTCATCGCCGGCAGCCAACGTGTTAAAACCTACATATTAAGCCCTACTGTTCATCTACTGGGTATTTCAGGTCATGTTGCATCTAGGTCAAGATACAATAAAAGGTTACACAATATCATTTAAACTTGCCACAAAATTTAGCTATTGGAATCCAGCCTGTCATTATGCAAATCAACCAAAAATCCATTTGATTTGAAACTATAAAAACAAATGTTATTGCTACCAAAGTTTATTACCTTTCCAAAAGGCACCCACAGTCCACAAAAGCTACAGAATCGTCCTCCACTAACAACAACTACAGCAAACCATTGATAACAACAAACTGCAACAGTTTCAAACTTCTGAGTTGGTATTATGAGAAGGTATGTGTTTAAGAGAATAAAAAATTTCAAATAGCTCTTTGTAGTCCTGATTATTGGTAACATATTGCCCATGCAAATGTGAGCAATTCAGTAAGCAAACAAAAGCTTTTGTTTATTATTACTGAGCCAGACCTGATAATCTGGTTGATTAACCAGCCGACTTTTGATGATCGTATAACAAGCATAAATACTTGGGGATCATCCCTTTACAGCTGGGTCATTAGTTAAACTGGGCAGCATAACTTCAATAATTTATTCCTTTCCTTCAGCAGTTACATAATAGATTTCTTTTCCTCCTTTCATATATAATTTCACTACTGAGAAGCAACAGTTTGACAATAGAAATAAGGCCAAAAATGGCTTATAAATATAACTATTATGGCAGCACCCCATCAATAATGATGGTAACGTCAAAACCAAGCTATATGAAAAAAATGGCATTACAAAATATAGGGAAACAAATTGATTGTGTGTCTTTGTATGACATCATTATTTGTTCCATAATGAGGTGCACCTTCAACCAAAAGATAACTAATAATACAAATATATTAATGAACTGAAATAAGAGAATAAAGACTAACAAAATCACATTAACCTACTGCAACAAAAACAAGACTACATCAAATTGTGATGCAAACAAAATTCAGTTGTAAAATGGTAAGACCTTTTAAAACTTAGTGCATTTTAAGTATCTACAAGCTAAACTTTGAGATATGAGAGAAGGAAGTTGCAGTAGAATAAAATATTAAAAATCAATAAAAGAATAACAGATACACTATACTAATTAAGACATAAGGCTATTTGGGGTTTGGCAGAAGATCCACCTACTCACTATGCAGGGTAGCTCTGTGGTCAAATTATGATAATTTGACTGGTGTATATTCATGAATTTCCATGGATGAATAACAAAATAAGAACAAATTGATAAAATATAATAGAAACTATAATAAATATATATGGCATAGATGTAGCTGTACTTTATAAATATTTCTTTGCAATTTGATTATTAATATGCTATATTTCTAGACAATATGGGGCTTTGTTGTTTTCTTTAAATATTTGTAACAAATTCAAATTTAAAACTCTTTTGGAATGGCTACATAAATTTGCAGGAATGTATCATTTTTTATGATTAAAAGTCTGAAACTAATAGATTATTTGTTGTACAACAACTGCAGGCTAAAGAATATGTGCAGGTGTCCAAAATAAGTAACTGGAATTTCATGTCAATTTACATTTTAATTTTAATAAACCACAAGAAAAAAACAATTTCTATGAATTATTAATTATTATTATTGGTAAAGATACAAATTTGAAGAAATGAATAGGCCTACTTGTAGAATACAATTCTTTTTGTGTTTTCTTATCCAAAGTCACAATCAAAACAAATAAATAAATTATAAATAAATAATCACAGTGATTGAAATATGTAGCAATTTAGTACAGTGAATGTTTCCAATTAAATTTTCTAGCCATCAATTATAATATTGTACTCTGTTTTGATAGACAGTGCAGAACAGGTGTTCTAGACATTCTGAGAGGGTAATACCTCATCATGAATGTATCCCATAAGCTTGGAATAATCTACAATGGTATGAGAGTGTATTTATCTAACCAAGTTACTTATAATTGAATTTTGTGGCGTGACCTAGTTAAGTAAAAGTTCTTGCTACAAACAAAATCACTTATTAATTCAAATTTGATGATCAATATAAATATTTGTTATAATTTTCTATATTAGTTTTACACTAATTATTATAAACGTTATTTTTGGTCTACTACATGTTCTAATAAAACCAATACACAAATGCTCACTTACAGGAACATGCCTATTAATTTACTTCATACACATATTTCATATCAAATATAATGAAATTATCTATTTCAAATCATCAATATAACTAACATAATTTCCTACAATTTTACACCTGAGAAAAATTTTATTTAATTTAACAACCAACTCTTGAAGGTTATCAAGCAAGTAATCAACCAGAAGGAAAGTCGTGGTTCTACTTTCACACATTATACATATTCTCTGGTCCTTAACAGGCAATCTGCAATCCTACTAAGCCATTTATTCTGGCCCACGCTTTTTTCCATAAATACAAAATTAAAACTATAGCCATCTGATCAATGGTTTTTGTGAAGACCAACCTGAATAATGCATAGAAACTGCTATATAATATTTTATTTAAAGCATCTAATGGTTGGCCAAAGTTAGGCCTATATTTAACAAGGTTGAGCACAGAACACTTCACTAGTACTAAACAGTGGATTAATCACATCCAATATTACTTGTCCAGTAGGCCTTACATTATGGGTTTTATATCTCTAAATGGTGCCCTATATTATAAGCAGTGGCAAATCTAGAGGGGGAATAATAGGTGTATGCCCCCTCTATTTTTTTGTAATGCTTTTTCGAAAATTACCATGCTAAACAGTAAAAATCTATTAAATACAAACTCAAATTAATGAAGGTGCTAGAGGTTTAAGAGGGATTCACCCCTTGCACTACTACAGGGCTCTTCCCTGAGACTCTCAAACGGGACTTGATCTGCCCTTGGCATAGAGCCATGATTTACATTGAATTTGCAGTGTCACAGTGTGGGCCCCAATCATACGTAAATAGCACAATACATAAATTATATTAAATGTGTATTGTTTGCTTTTTCGTAAGTTTAGTTGAAATTTTTGATTTGTGTCCTCCCAGAAATCTCATTTCAGTAAGTCACAACATGGTGATGAGTGCACCCTTTAATACCAAGCCATTTGACCAGTTAGGCCAACAGAGATGGATCAATTACATGACATGCTGAAACTGGGACACCACACTGGGATGGTTATCATGTCCCATTAAGAAAGGTAAATGTAATTTGCTATGGCCTTGAGGATTGCTACAGCTGCTGCTTGACATGTCATCACCATGTCAACACTGTATGTGGCAAAAGTTCACCTTTGACCTTTACAAACTGTACAACCTGTGTCATTGGTTCAAATCTTGCACAATACCATGATTATAGTTATAATAGATAAGTGTTCTTGTAGAAAGAAATACTTGTATATTATATCAAAATAAAGACAAATATATTTAAATTTTATCATAACAATGAATATAGAATTCCAGTCCATTCTAAACAAGATTGTTTTATTATAGTTATAATTTATAAAAGATTAGAAGGCAGAAAATATATCAGATGGAAGAAAATCATGAAAATAGAGGGTGCACTTCCATTTGAATTTCTCTACAAATAAAATGTGTTTGCTGCCCTCTTTCATCTGAATACTTTTTTTATGGACTTGTATGTTGCATTTTGATTTGCTTTCTGGTTTTAAAGTATACATTGAGTTAATTGTGCGTCTTTTTAACATGATCAAGAATAAAATATAAACTTTCACTCTTCTACATATGTTCTTATTCATTATAAATATGTAAAACATGACAGACATACATAAGTATGTATGCCATTAAAATAAAAGTTACAAATTTGTTTTACCTATCATTGTCACTGAGATCCAGATCTTGTCCCAGACATTCTCTGACAGCTGTCATGCCATCTTGATAAGGATTAGTACTCATGAGAAGTCGTTTAGTGTACATCATTCCACCTCCTTCACTCATGTAACCACTGGTCATATCAAGTTGTTGGCTTGGTTGCAGTATGTCACCCTCACTCATGTAGCCTGATGCAATGTCCTCATTGATGACATCATCACATTCATCAAGAATGGCCTGTTCCGAGAACTGTAAATCACTTAAGTGTGACCGATTTGAGATGGTTCTACGAATTGGCGAAGAAACCAGTTTACTCAGGGATGATGCTGGAATGAATCTGTTCACATTTGATCGGAATGGGTATGTATTGTTGATGTACGCCGACATGGTATCGGTTTGTGTGAGAACAGACGATGTGTTAAGAAGATTCATGTCTGTAAGCAGAGGTGAAATAGAGGACTTGATCCCACCATGTGCAGTTCCTTTAGTTATTTGCGGTGAACTCTGAGCAGACTTTTGGTTCTTTGATGGGGAACTTGTAAGACGTGTTATAACATTGTCATCAAATGTTGTCTCCATTGTGCTCTGAGATCCAATGCTGGTCTCAGCAGTGACATTCATGACAGTCATCTCAAGATTCTCCCCAGCAGTTTGACATCCTGCCATGATTTTCTGTGACCTCTGAGCTTTTGGGGTGCCAAAGGTGGTCACAGCTTTATCATTGGTGTAGGTGGTACATACCTCTTCACTATCAGACAATGGTCTGAAAATCACGCTGCTCTCCGAAGTGCCAGAAGAAACACTGATGTTGCATGGTGTACCTGGAGTTGACTCAGGAGTATGTGGCGAGTGCATGCCAATCTCACTAAATTCCTTAGAAGATGGACGACTACCAGTGTAGTTAAAAGGAGCAACTGTTGCAGTATTCTGACAAGAGGGCTTGCGTTCAAGTACACCACGACTGGGGGAATGGCAGGATCCTGGTGTAGGAGAACCTGGATAGGAGGTTGATGGTCCTGTGACCCTTGGAAGAGAGGAATAGCTACCTGGGGCAATATCAGATTTTGGTGCTATTCGATGTACTTGAACATCATTAGATTTATTGGCATCATCATCAGTTTCTTTCATACTCATGTCTTTAACTTGCATCCTAGGTTTTTGTGGGCCAGGAAAAGTACTGTATACACCACCTCTGCTTGGTATTCTGGTAACAGATTCTTCCTCCTCTTTACCTTCTACTGGTTGCTCATGAGCAACTTTGGCAGGTGTTACTGTTGTTTTCTTGGGCAATGTCTGATAGTTAACTGGTGGTTTTAAGCCTGTTTTTATCCCACTCCCAGCAGGTCTTGGAATACCTCTACCCTGACTGGGAACAGAACTTCCCTGAGAGCTTGCACTTGTGTTGGTTTTTGGCTTAATAAGCAATAATTTTTTACCACCAGCACTGGTGGTCCGTTGGCCAGGAGAGGGCAATCTTGAACTGGACTTTTTCACCCTTGTCTGAGGACTACTAATAGAACTCTTAGTGTCATATGACTCATCAGAAAAAGCAGAGCTATTGGAGCTTCTTCTAGAATCTGCCTTTCTTCCTACAGTTGGCTTTTCCAGTTCTCGTTTCTGGGAAGCTGGAGAGTCTCTAGCCTTATGTCCAGTCACTGGACGAGGTATTGTTTTCTGACCAGTTTTCTTCTGAATTCCAGATCCAGGTATTGGGCCTGCTGATGACGTTGGACTGTTCATTGCACTACTAGAAGAAGTATTGCTCCCTGTGGTTCCAATACTTGAATTGCTTTCAGACTTTGTCTTAAATCCACCTTTACTTTGACTGTTCACCTTCCGTTGTGGAATCTCTCGGCCACACTTGTCTTTCACACTTGCTTTCCCTTTTGTATCCTTTGTTTTTAATTTACTAGGTGGTGTTTTTGGAATGGAATCTATTTTCTCTTTTGCGTGATTTTTATCTTTATTTCCTGCATTTTCTTTGGCAAAAAATTTCAGTTTTGTTAACATTGAGTTCTTGCTGTTATTGTGCTTTGCATTCTGCTGTTGCTGTTGCTGCTGCATTGCTGCAGGTACCTTATTTACAACAATCCGACTTGTTGGTGTTGGGCTACGTGGATTTGGAATTTTCTTTGAAGGAATAGTATTGATGTTCACAGGTGGTTTTATATTTGAGCCATTCTCAACAAGTTTTCCGGTATCTTCATCATCTCCTGAGAATAAAAGAATGAATATATTAAATGTCAAAGTAATGCAACAAAAAATTATACACTTAATCCTACCATCATTCTAAATATTTGACCAACATTTATTTTTTTTTCATTTAATAACTGTCCAAATTCTCCTATAAATCTTTCAAAGTGGGTGCTGTCTGCGCTGGGCTGGAAACTGTTTTGGCACTTTTTAATGGGTTGAAAATTGGGTTATCAGCAATTTGACAGTAAGGGGAAAATTCCATTCACAATTTCTGGGTGCTTTCAAATGTGAGATGCTCACATCTACAAGTCCTCCTCTAATGATGTTAAATTCCATGCAGCATTGGTCGATAATGATATAAATGTATAAATAATTGCCAGTGAATTATTTGCACATTTTTATATTATAATTTTTGTAGCATTCACCCGGTCCCTGTCGTGTACTGTTTTATGTGAACTGGGCCCTCTGGGAGAACAGTAATTTGTTACTGAAGAGGAAACCCAGTATAAAGAACAAATAAATAAATAAATTCTATCATTTGTCTATGCCTATTAAAAAGATATGTGCTCCCCCGTGATATGTTGTCACTTTGGACCGCTAGAACTTTGTAGGCCTACAACAAAATACTTGTTGTGGAACATTATGTTGGTTGTACTTGTTGAAAAACTTGATATAGCTTATTTATAATGAGTACATTTTAAAAGTGCAGTTGAATAGCTTAGCAGTTAAGATGCTTGCCATCTTATCCCACAATTCAATTCCTTCTAGGATACACTGAATGGGCCACCCTCTAAAAATATATGGTTTAAAAAAACAAACAAAAAACAAATGGGACTTAATTAAAATAGTAAAGACTAGCCCCTTACTTCTCACCTAGGGTGTCTTCGTGTTTGAGTTACACAGTAATATGAATGTAACAAAACTACATGTAATTTGAACCGGAACTCAGCCAACTTTAGTCAATGTTTAGCTGACTTTATATCCCATAAAACAAATTATTAGATTATCACCTAAACCCTTTAGAAAATCTGTACCTGTCTGAAGTAGTTCCTCAAATAATTTCATTAGGTTTCCATACAGTGATAGACTGATAAATTTGTGAAATGAAACCAATCATCAGGCGCTGACGGGTACTGGTCAAGCACCCGTCAGTGCCTGTAAAGTTCTACAGGTAGTAGATCAAACATCGCCAGTACGTATATCCATTTATTGGTTTAATTTTCATAAATTTACCAATCTAGCAGGTAGTTGTTGTAAGTGGATTGGATAGGATTTATTTGGTGAGACCACTAAAGATAACCTACGAAAGTGAAGTGACTTGAGTCTTTCTGGTGGTGATTGTGCAGTACACCAGGACACAATCCCCAACTCTTTTCTAAGGTGCTTAAATGTCTCTTCTTAAAGACGGGGAACTTTTCTATACTTGCATTTTAGCCCTCCAGATGAACACTAAGATATGGTGCAAGTAGAGGTACCTTATGTCATAATTGAAAATGGAAATAAGAATGTCCATGTACTGTATGGCCTACATGTTTACCTTGAGAATGTGCCTGTGGTTGTGGTGTGGATCGAACAACCTTGCCCATCTGACGGATGTTTGTTGAAGGTGGAACAATCTTCGACCCCTGAGATGATTTTGCGCTTTTTGGAGTTGGAATTTTGGAAGCCATGTCTGTGGATGATTTTAAATTTGTTGAAGCTGAAAAATTTTTAAAAAACCAATCAAATCAAATCTTTATTGTCCATTATATAACAGAAACGTATACTGGAAATTTGTCATTCAACACAAACAGAAACATTACCAACGAAAGGAAACTGCACTAATTATATAAAATTTTAAAAAACATATTCTAATTTATGTTAGTACTACAAAACTTTTTTTTTTTTATTGAAATAGACATAAAAAAAAAAAACAAATGTAAACAGGCTAAACCTTCCAACTAAAATCGATATTAAGATAACATTCAAGGCTTTATTAAAAACAATTAATAAATGTCTACCATGTATTGGTATTGTTAGCCATATTAATATACCAGTATGTAAGCCTAAGAAACTGAGTAATTTGAGGAGTTAGAGCCCAATCACACTTAAAAGTTACGTCAGCTTAGGATTGCCCAAGGGCCACCCTTTTTGAAGTGTGAATAATCAATGAAGTTAGGCCAGCACAAAATAAACAAACATATCACCATTAGCAGCTAAATATCAGTATAGATATGAACAATTTGTTAATGTCTAATATAAAGATCTAATATAAAGATCATTAAAGAATAAAGGACTTTACCTTGTGAAACTGAACTAACTGTTGGCGCAATCCGAATTTGTGCAGATACTTTGACATGCGACCTTCCAGTCGGAGATCTTGTCTTTCCAGTTGTGGCACGTCTCCCACTGGATGATGATAATGATAATGACACCTGGTTTGGATGCTTTACATCTATTATTTTCTCTTTCTCCGTTTGCTGATGATGGGAAGGCAGCACCGTCACTTTAGGATGTTGGGATAAAGCACGAGATGTCTGTGAAGGTGCAGTGGTTACAGTCACCCGTGGGTGAGACGACTTGTCAGGTGTCTGTTTCCGTGATGCTGCGTGCGAACCTGGGATTGCTTTTGGTGGCTGAATAGGAGGGATAGATGCTCTTTGTTGTGTAGAAACTGAAGAAACTCTAGGTGGCACTGTTGGCTTGGATGGCTGTGTTTGTGCCTGTCGATGGTTGGAATTCTTACCTCCTTCACTATTTTCCTTCTTCTCCTGAAGTGTCTTCTGTTGCAGTTGCTTAAAGCGTGATAGTGCAAAAAAAAGTCCAAGAATAGATTTCAAATTTCCGTCTTTAATATCTGCAAAAAAAAAAGCAGATATTGAATATCATAAATATTAAGTATTATTTTTAAAATCTGACCAAAAGATTATGCTGTAGGAAAGAAAAGTATTTTGTACACTAGCGGTAGTTCATTTGACACAGTCCATCTGTTTATAGACACAAATCCACGTTGCTGTTAAATAAAAGATGATAGTTTGTCGCGGTGGGTTGTTTATTTATACACTGTAATTTGACATCTCATATAGAAACACCAAAGGAAACGTTGATAACAATTTAGAGCATAAGACGATAAGCTAATTGATACAAACTTATATTAGGTCCATATGAGGCGTACACACTCCTTTAAGAGTAATAAAGTAGAACCCCTTATTAAGGGGACACATTTGGGATCCAAAAAAGTGCCCACTAAATGGGGGTGTCCACTAAATAATAAAATAATAAACAGGGCCACTGTAACATCAATCTGTATCATGGAGTGTATTAATGGCCCTGTCAAACGTTGACGATTTAGTCAGCGTATGCCAACGTATCAACGTTTCTCTAAAACGCTGAATTATCGATGTTTTTTTTCAATTTTGAATGCATACATAGCATAATGAGTTGGACATATACATAACATATTAGTAACTTATATAGAATGTTTCGATAACTTATAGAAAACTTACACCAACGAATGCTTAGCGTGTTGCAGACGTTCACAACTTATGCCCAACGATAGTTTACTTTATGTACAGCGCGCGACAGCATATCGCCGACAAACATGTGAGGTAGCCTATAAAAAGGCAGCAGCCCGTCGATTCAAATGATAACGGCACTAGACAATATCAATATCACTGTCGCAGTATCAACATCACCGTATCAACATTACCCCATTTTTATATACCAATTGTGTCACTAAATAAATAAATAATCACTGGCACCACATTGATTTATCATTAATAATGATAAAAAACAAAGCCTATACCTGGGTCATTGTACACACTAATGCTAGAGTTATGTATGGGTTTTTATGTTAAATTTTATGTTAATACCTACGTTATTTAAACATTGCTTGTTCTGTATAAATCATATATAGATGTTGTATTTATATTTTTACTTACTAATCATGTTTTTTTTTTTTAAAGAATTCGACAAATATAAAGCAAGAAGCCACTCAAGGTATAGGCTAGAAAAAGAGGGGGGAAATGAGAAACACAGGATGACAAAATAAAAATTTCTGATTTTTCTGACAATAAAATTATCTGCTACTTTTTTCTATGAATATAGAAATATAAGCCAAGCTTAGCATATCTAAAGCTTATGCCCTAGGTTTATGCCTGAAATAATTTGCATGCTGAGTTCATATAATATTAACAATGTCTTACCCGTGACAAAATGTACTATCCTTCAACACATTGGCATGGCAGTCAAGAACTCTTATCAATTGATCAAGTACTTGTTTAAATAACATAGGTGTTGAACTTGTTATAACTTATAACTTATCTAACAATTCTGATTACCGTACTATATTCAAAAACAAATCACAAAGTATACATTTTAATCATTCAATAAATATTACCTTTAGCTAACAATCCTTGTGTGTTTACACCTTTGACAGTGAGACAGTAAAGACATTGCTCGATGTTATCGATCTGAAATAAAAAAAAAATATTCAAATATAAATATATTTTATACATCACCTGAAATCCATAAAGGCAAATCCAAGCAATATTTAAAATCAGTTTTATAGAATTATTCATGAACAATCTATCATTATTATGGTAAACAAATCTTCTTATGCTTCAGGTAATAAAGGTACATTTCTCAGTGGATCTAATGCACTTTGTAAGTGCCATAATGATTAGTAATGCATATACAATGGGAAAAATAAAAGTGAGAATGACATATTAAAGTCAATAATCATTTTATTCAGAAAAGAAATAAAGGATACATCCACAAGAAATCTGGATAAATGTTCATTAAAACAATTGCAAGGCAAGACCTTTTGAATACCATGTTTAGCGAGCTGTCACCCGCCAATAATGATAATTTTAAATGAAAATTATGTATATTTTTGGCCAATTAGCGAACCCAGCGCCACAAAAAATGGGAATTTCAGCAAAAAAGTTGTTCTTCATTTTTATTACGCCAACCACTTCTGTGAAATCTCGAAAAATAAGATATCTATATTTCTTCCTAATTGTATAAATTTAAAGCAGTTAACCATCCCATTACTACACTGTTTACATTCACCAATGAAATTTTATTTCTATTTTTTCCTCCGTCTGGATGTTTTTTCCAAAAATATTTGCTAAATAAGAAAACAAAATTTTATATTTATTTTTTTCTGCCCTCTTCTGACGATCATTTAAGACACATTACAAAAGATTTAGATATAATATCAACAATACAATATCATCAATAACATGTCAGGTAGGGCAAAACATCACTACTATAGTATTTTCCCTGACACAAACACATCAAATTAGCATTGCAGTAACCACTGCTACGTGGGCATCAGGTTCAACACTAATCACCAACCGCAAGCTCGGTGGTCTAGTGGTTATGAACACCTGGCTAGTTATCCGAAGGTCATGGGTTCGATCCCCACCCGAATCACTTGCGACTTTTTTAGCCACTATTTGGAAACATACTGACGAGTAAGCATCACTCCTATAAAAACATAAGAACTGGTGTGTTTTTTTTAAATAATTTTAATCTAATTTCCATTTTCATGACTATACGGTACTAATCAACCGCAGAAAAAAAATATAACTCGAGATAGAAATTTACCAGATTTCCTTTGGTTTCATAATAATTTCTGGGACAAAGGAGTCTACACCAAGAGAGTCACTGGTTGTACGGTACAGTGTAAAATAAGAAGAAAGTAAGAACATTTTAAAACCAAAAATAGGCAAAAAATAAGAACACTGGGCCTGGGCAAAATTTTCCTGCTTCTTATTTAAAAAAACAGTACAGTATATAGCACTGATAATATCAGATTCCCTGAAATGGCACTTGCAGATTCTAAAAACGTTTATCTAATTGACGTTTTGTAATAATAATAATAATAATAATAATAATTTGAAATCAGAATATTCAAAATACAACACTAATATATACGAAACAAATTAGTTAGGGGGATGCAATATGACCTTGGATCCACGGAGAAAATTACAGTACAATTCAGATTGTCCAAAACAATCCAGCCAGAGGTGTGATGAGTTCTGATAGACACTTGACTAATATTAAGTAGGCTGTATATGGGACTAATGCTTACAGTATTTCCATATTAAAGTTCCATATATAAGAATTCTCAATAGGCCAATAAAATGATAAAAATCTTGCATTCCTTGACACTAGCCTATAATTACCTTTCATGCCATCCAACTGAACTTATTTCTTATTTAATTCTGGCAATAATGCTGAAATGGGATGATAATAATAGGCACATTACTACAAACCAAGTCCTTCTCTTACTTGCTTGGGGTCTTCTAATGACAAATGGCAAATCAAATGGCTCATTTATAACTCAAAGGCTATTTTGTTGATATCAAAATGAACGAATAGACACCTTTCAATCTTTACACTGACGTGGCCGAAACGCTGAGGGCGCACTCCCCTGGTTATCCTTTTGTTTTTTTTTTAATTAGGCGCACAACTCATGTACCAAGGATTGTCAATAGCGAATATACCACTGTCCTACCTATAGGTGACAATCCCTTACACAAGACAAATATATATACACAAACTAAATCTCAATATGAGATTTAGGGAGTGGAGTTTTGGTTGTGAGAAAAATTCCTGCAGTAGGAATTAAACCCAGGACCCAGGGATTGGAAGGCAAGCATCTTAACCAGCAAGCTTTTCAACAACACTCCAAACTTTGTTGTGCCAGAAATATGAAAGCTACATGGATGAAATTTGCATGGCATAATTATATGTATCAGGAATCGACAAAAAAAAATTAAAAATTTATATTTTTTCTAATATTATTCAATTTTAAGTAATTGCCATAAATTTAAGTCATTTTTTATAAAGGACACCTGTTTGTGCCAACACTCAGTAGCCACAGGAAATAATTCTCACACTAAGCTAGCATGACACTGAGGTAAATTAGTTAAAACATAACATTAACATATTTTTACATTAGTAATGAATTTATGTAGGCTTTAGATGATGGGACAAATATCATCTCTCACTGAACACCACATCAAATGAGGAGGAACCTTCAAGAATAATACATAGGCCTATTTAGGTTTTAAAATGGCTCAATCACCAAAGATGTGTAAATTTTAATAGAAATATACTACATGTTGTGTTCGATTATTCTGGGATTTTTCTTTCAGAAAGCCTTTGTCCTATATCAGCACACAAATGAAAGCATTCCTTAAACCAAACTATGCCTGGCCTACCTAATTTAATCAAATTTAATACATAGCATTAAAGTTTTTTTTTTTAATTCTGAATTTTAGAAAATTCTAAAGACTAGAAGTTTGCATGAAGCATCATGGTACTGTGACGCTTGGTACATCCTGGTGGCACTTCACAGTTGGCACAATGGTAGTGATGCTTAGAAATTGGCTGTGATTCTCTATGATGCCTACTGTAGAGCATCTATATTAAAGTAAAATTAAATCCCTGCCGAACTACGAGGCTCATATAGACTATAGTTTATCCCCAGTTTCGAGTATATGAAGCGGATGAGAGCTTGTACCTTCCTGGGTGTTACGCTGATCTTCCACATGTTACTCCCAACAATTCACTGGTACCCATTAATACAGATGGGTAGAGACTGAAACGATGTAGATAAAGTGCCTTGCTAATGGCCCTGTCACCCATTGACAATTTAGCCAGCGTATGCCTATGTATGAAAAATTTGGCGAATACACTGGCGTATGTCAAATAAGTTATGGGTACGTTTTGTATAAGTTAAGAGCACGCTGAAGCACACTCAAATGCATCGTAATACATTGGCAACACACTTCGTTGATATCAGTTATTGAAACGTTCTATATAAGTTACGGTACTAACATGTTATATATATATTCAACACAATATGAATATGCTATGTATACGCACAAAATTGCAAAAAAAAACATCTATACTTCAGCGTATGATAGCGTTTTAGAGAAATTTTGATACGCCGGCATACGCTGGCTAAATCGTCAAAGTGTGACAGGGCTATCAAGAACACAAGCTAAATGCACAGTGAAGGACTGAAACCCCAACCTCGAGGTTGGGAAACCAAACATTTCAACTGCGCCAAACCGCCTCCACATCTAAATTTATATTTAAAGTCAGTGTAGTCAAATAGAGCTGTCTATATGAACATAAGTCGTAATGATTACAGGAGAAACCACATTTTACATGAGCGTGTAATATATTGCATGCATAATGTCGCAAGTTAACTGTGAAAATACACACATGCTACCCAGTAACTAGGTTGTCTCGGAGTGGGAGGTTCAACTTACATATTATTACTGTATTATTATTATTCAAATATTATGTGATGCTTGGCCTTCATCATGTTAATTAAGTGATAATATATTGTTAATAACATTAATTATACATTTTCATAAAGTTTTCTATTGCATATTGGTTTATAATTAAAATATTAAATAATAATAATAATAACAATAATAATAATAATAATATAATTTAATAATAAAAATAATTATAATAATAATCATTATCATATTGCATTAACATCATCTTTAATTAAAGAAAAGCTAATATAACTCACAGATATATAAAATGCAATTAAAATTTGTAATAATATTACACATTAAAAATACTTTACACAAAACAGAACAGAATAGAAGCTAGCATAGTTTAAGTATTAAAATAAAAAACAAAATCCTATTCTCACAATGTCTATCTCATTTAACATGACTGATGTAAACTTTACCTTTTCACATTAACCTACATCCAGGCTTAAATTTGTGCAGGAATATAATGCAGGTAATGGGAACACTCAGCAACAAATTTCATATTACAGTACTAATATAAAATCAATTTTACAGAATGATTCATAGATTCAAATATTTAATGTATTTTAAAGTTCAGAATTAAAGACATTTGTATTAATGAGGGTACAGCAATGTGATTATTTCAGTATTCAGTATGTCATTTCTTCTATAAGACAAAAACACATAAGCCTGGCTCATGTCGAACTTTTATCTAGATATAGATCCACTTAACTAGTTAAAAGTTTGATGTGAACCAGTCAATTATAGCTAGATAAAGGCTTAAGTCACTTAAAGTTAAGTGACTTAACTTCACTAGAATAACGGTAAATTAACTTTCTTAACGGTAAAGTCGGCTCGGATTACAAGAACACGATTACGTAATGTAGGCATCTAAGCCAGCGTTGTTGTGTTGTACCACCATTATTATCATCCTCTGGCTGGCAACAACGTAACAATGCTAACAACAGCAGCAAAGTAGTCTCATTAGTCTAGTTTTCAGAAATTATTTGTGATATTATGGGTAAAAACCTAGCAAACGTCCGTTTTACAAATAGTCAATATTACAAATGGCCTTTGCATCATCGACCAAGTAATAACGTCAAAAGTCTGATTGCGTACGTTTTCCAAAGTGATAATGTATATTATTCTTAATAATAAAATCAGATTTGTTGTATTTATTT